GTGCTCTTCCGATCTCCCCAAAACCCCAAAACCCCAAAACCCCGTCAATAGAAATAGCTTCCATCAATAAAAGAAGAAATTATATTGTTGTAATACAAATTTAAAGTTTAACAAATTAAATTTCTTCTTAAGCTTCTCAAATAATGGAAGACTTAGACTAATTCAAAGGTCAATTCGAATTCTTAACTAGGCGTGCTATAACAGAGGCTGCACCTCACAGAGCCGCTTGCAGATATGATTCTGCTGATGATAATGAAGAGGAGGAATTAGCAATTAATGGTGCTGATTATTTTGACTTGAATATGCTTCCTGACTAAATGCCTCAGGATTTATATGCTTAAAATACCTAGCCCTTGAACCTAATTCCGTAGAGGCCTTATAAAGATGGAGAGATAAAAAACTACAAGGGCTTAAGAGCTTCTGCATAAGGTAAAAGGGAAAATTACGCTCTGGGTAAACCTCTTAAACCTACAACTTTCGGGAATAATAATAATTTACCAGGAAAAGTATTTAGTAATTGTGCAAGTAGTGGCTATAATTCCTAAAAAAATTTGAGAAATAATCAGACAATGAATGGTTGCGCATTGGGAAACAATAGATATAGTTCATAGAATAATAAAGGATTTGACTGCGAGGATGAAGATGAGCTCATGGATGATGGAGAAGGAGTCTTAGATGTTGCTGAGGAAAATTGTATAGGTGCTACTGTTTTGGGTTCATAACTATAAACAGAAGCTGTTTTCACAGAATCAGCACCCGAAACTTTAAGCTAGACCTATAGAAGAGGTAGTTATAGGTACAAAGACAGGATAAATACTCTTAGAATGCAAAGTAAAGAAAACTATCAAAGAGAACATATGATAGGTCCGACTTATTTTACAGAGATAGACGAGAAAGGGAAAAATGAGGAAGCATGCTAGGATGATGAGTTTGAATTATTTGACAGAGCCTAGCATGATAATATTCTTAGCTAAAGAATGAGACAACATGAGACCTAAATTAATGTTGATTTTTCTGATCTAGAAATAGGGGGCTAGCAAACTTTGTTTAAAAGTCGATATACAATTGAAAAAGCAAAATACGATAAAAGATGGACAACTTAACCTGCTGATTAAAATGATGTTTAGGTTTGCGATGATGATGAAGATAACACCCCTAAACAAGATCTTAGTTAGTAATTCTTAGATCCGAGAAATGGAGCACACTTTCAGTATAAAGAACTAATAAAGAGGCTATCAGATATTACGAATTCTTCAAGAGAAAAGAATTCTTCAAGAAAAGGCAAAAATACTCGACCAAAAGTAAAGCAATGTGAAACTGATGCAAGATTACCCTTGAAGGAGAAAACCCAAGAGATAATGAATTAAATAGATAAAAATTCAAGTTCTAAGAAAAAAAGAGTTTCAGCTTAAGGTGATCATTCAAATAAGGGAAAGCCTTTCAGTAATTCAGCCAAAAACAGCAAAAAGTAAGACACAAAGAAGATATAAGAATAAATTACGGTCAAAGTTCCGATGCATTAAATTCCTCAAAATCTCATAACCTAAAACAAAATCTCAAAGTTGTTACTCTCAAATCAAGAAAATCATTTCATAGATAAAAAGTTGAAAGATCTATAAATGGACTCTGGAGTCAACATTAGTAAAAGTAATATTGCTAAGAATTTAACAATTAATCATAATAAGAGTCATTAAAATCTTCACAAGTCAATTGAGAAAACCTTTAACAAAATATCTACTTAGTAATAATGCCAAATAAACAACATGAAACTTAATAAAGCTTCTGGGTAGTAAAATAAACTTTTCTCTAATGCCCCGATATAAAACTAGGCCATTAACAAACATTAATCTCAAAATCAAATAGTAATAAGCAATATACTTTCAAATAATGCATTGAGCTCTAGCATTTCGAGCAGTAGTACAGGAGGACCATAATAGATATATTAGAATGGGTAATAACAGAATAACTGTATATCTGGTACATTTAATACTGGCACAAAGTGTCCTAGTACAAACTTTTTAAAAACCGCAACAACAGCTTTTACTACGACTACAACTAACAAATCATCAGCGAAACTTACATAATGCAATAGCAACAAGTAAATCAATAACAACAAGGAAACTCCAGAAGCGACTACTAGGCAAAAGTTAAGACTTACTGGAACTGCATTAAGCTCAACAAGCAAGAGAAATAATATGAATTCAGCTGGATGCGGAACAACGCTAAGCAATAACTCTTAAGGAAACACCATTCAAAATAGCTAAACTAATATTTAGGGCTTGCCTCAGCATTAATTTGGATACCATGACTCAGGAAACAAAAGAAGTCATAATTCAGAGCAGAAAGATTCTTAAAATATAGCTAATAAAAGTCATCAAGCACTTAATCCTACATCAGGAACCTTGAATAGTGGAACTAATACTCATCCATCTTCTGTTCCAAGAAGCAACTCTAGTCACAAAAAGGTTCAGTAAAAGCAAGTGCAAAAAATGATAAAAAACTAGAGTTTTTTAAAAGGATCTTAAATAGATAATGTGAATAAGAAGTAAAATGAATTTTACAACACTATTTATCAAAATATTTAGACTGGTAAACTCGGTCTATCAACCTTAAGTGGTGGTAGCCAGTTAAATCTCAATCTTAAAAATAACTAGCAGCAAATGCAATTACAGCAGTAGTCAATGGTCAATTTTTAAAATCAAAATATATAAGGAGGAGCTACAAGGCTTTCAGATAATAAGAAAAACTCGATAGTGGGTAATAGTTCAAAGACGACTCGAGTGCAAGCTCCATAAAATTAAATTCAACCACCCTCTAGCAGCAAGCCTTAATCTAGATTAAGTTAGGGTAAGACTCCATAAAATGATGGATTAATGCTTGAAAATGCAAATTTTTAAGCTATCACTAAATCTATGAAAAGAATCTCAGAAATGATGCATGCTTAATAGTAATCCCCAACTAATAACAATAATGATACATACTCTAGAAAAAGTTCCAATAAAAATTTTAAGGATGAATAAAATAACAATGAAAAATCCTTAGTCGGAAAAAACAGCTCGATTAACCTTTTCAATATTCCTGCTTTAAATGCTCAAAAGATTAACTAGTTTTTCATGAAAATAAATCAAGAGTAGTAACAATATTTAGCAAATCAATCTTAGGTTAAACTAGCATAGCACTCTTAGTAATAGTAGCAACCATAAATGCAAACTTCTTCAATTTCATAATAGAATTAAAATAACTTCTAATCAATTCTTCTTAATCACTAAGTGCAGAAAAAAAATCATGCTAACAACACAAGCCAATAACAAAATTAAGGCAAAACTTAAAATAGGCCACTTTCAGGCAATGATACTATAAACTAACCAAATTAGAACGTATATTCTGAAGCTACAAATCATAGAAGAAAAATATCATAAGAAAAGCAGAACATGGCTTAATCAGTGTTATAATAGAGTGATTAAAATCAAAAGTAAAATAATATAGATTTTGATAACAGGCAATCTCTTTAAGTCTAGCACAAAACTATGGAAAAGAAACAAACAACAACGTCTTAGCAACAACAGAAAATGAGGAATCTACATGAAGAAAAAGAAAAAATGAATAGATATCTAGCACAAAAGAAAGAAGAGCTGGCTTAAGCAACTTTAAAATCTAATAACTAGAGATATGCTGGATAGGACTAAAGTGTCCTTGGGAAAAAAGGCTTCCTTCTAGCAAACATTAAGATTCCTAAGTCTAATGCAAATCAAAACAACAAGTTAAGTAATAATCAGCATTCTTAATAATAGCTATTCAATCCAGATGTTTATGAGAGAATGCATATGCCTACAGAAGAGGATGACTACAGTTCAAAACTAATGAGCAAAGAATAACTTTTCACAGAGGTCTATCAACTTGGAAATATAATTGAGACAGATGGTGATCAAATTTAGTCTTTCTCTGATATAGGTCAATATTTGTAACAGCAATAGCAGTAGCTAAATCACTAATAGTAGAATTACCATCATCATCATCAAAACTAAAAAGTATAACCAAAATAACATATTTCGAACTCAACTGGAGCATAGAGACATTCAGTAAAAGTTAAGCCGAAAAATGTTTGAAGTTAAAATGATTGGATCATACATACTTCCTTATTTCTTCCTTATTCTTTGTACCTATTGTTAATTCACAACTTTTGTATTTTATTTACACTTTAAATTCAGTCTTCAGGGGTTTTGGGGTTTTGGGG